CCCTCGTAGACCGTAAGCGGAAGCGTTATGACAATGCGGTTGATGTAGTCGTACGTCTTCACGATCGACCAATCTAGCACCGAAGGTACGACACCTCCGTGATCTGCACATGTTCAGCTCGGTGACATCCCGCAAACTCATGATCCAGTAGAGCTTCGAGGCAGAGTTTCGTCAGCACGACGGCGTGATGACGGTGATGATGTTGCTACCGGAACAGGGCTTCGCGTAAGCACCACTACGATATGACCGATGTGGATTATGGTGGAGGGGGGCACCGCACACAGCTAAAAGATCAATGATCAACTTGTGTGTCCATGGGGTGCCCCCCTCCCATGTATATAAAGGAGTGGAGGAGGGGACGGCCTCTCTAGGCATGCCCAAAAGAGTCCTACTCCCACCGGGAGTAGGATCCCCCCCCCTTCCCTTTGTTGGCATTAGGAGAGAAGGAAGGAGAGGGAAGAAGGAAGGAAAGGGGGCCCGACCCCCCTCCCAATTCGGATTGGGCTTGGGGGCGCGCCCTCTCCTTTGCTTCTTCTCCCTCTTTTCCACTAAGGCCCATATACCTCCCGGGGGGTTCCGGTAACCTCCCGGTGCTCCGGTATACTCCCGATTTCACCCGAAACCATTCCGATGTCCAAACATAGGCTTCCAATATATCGATCTTTATGTCTCGACCATTTCGAGACTCCTCGTCATGTCCGTGATCAAATCCGGGACTCCGAACTACCTTTGGTACATCAAAACACATAAACTCATAATGCCGATCGTCACCGAACGTTAAGCGTGCGGACCCTACGGTTTGAGAACTATGTAGATATGACCGAGACATGTCTCCGGTCAATAACCAATAGCGGAACCTGGATGCTCATATTGGCTCCTACATATTCTACGAAGATCTTTATCGGTCAAACCGCATAACGGTATAGGTTGTTCCCTTTGTCATCGGTATGTTACTTGCCCGAGATTCGGTCGTCGGTGTCTCAATACCTAGTTCAATCTCGTTACTGGTAAATCTCTTTACTCATTCCGTAATGCTACATCCGTAACTAACTCATTAGCTACATTGCTTGCAAGGCTTATTGTGATGTACATTACCGAGAGGGCCCAGAGATACCTCTCCGACAATCGGAGTGACAAATCCTAATCTTGATCCATGCCAACTCAACAAACACCATCGGAGACACCTGTAGAGCACCTTTATAATCACTCAGTTACGTTGTGACGTTTGGTAGCACACAAAGTGTTCCTCCGGTATTCGGGAGTTGCATGATCTCATAGTCATAGGAACATGTATAGTTATGGACAAAGCAATAGCAACAAACTAAACGATCGTCGTGCTAAGCTAACGGATGGGTCAAGTCAATCACATCATTCTCTAATGATGTGATCTCGTTAATCAAATGACAACTCATGTCTATGGTTAGGAAACATAACCATCATCGATTGAATGAGCTAGTCAAGTAGAGGCAAACTAGTGACACTCTGTTTGTCTATGTATTCACACATGTACTAAGTTTCCGGTTAATACAATTCTAGCATGAATAATTAAGGATGGCAATGGGTACCCATTACCCGCGTACCCTGTGGGTAAAAACCCTATTAGGGTAAGGGTATGGGATAGAAAATTACCCATGGGTACTTAAATGGGAAAATAGCATACCCATCGGGTAGATAGGGTACGGGTATGGGATCGTATAACCCATGCCCGCATACCCATGTACCCATCTAAAATGTTGACAGGTGGGTTTCCGTTAATATCCCAATGTATTCATTTCCCCTCCTAATCACGCTAGTTAAAAAGTCTAATGTATATTCAAATTATCTCTATAATTTATCATGATTTCGTTAACTTAAAGTGTATGCATATGTGTTGTTATTTATGATTATGTGTTCTTGTTTAACATTTTTATACGCCACTTTATAGGCAAGTATTTTTGTTTATGAGAATATGTTGTTGTTACAATATGTTGTTGTACATTGTTGTTTAAAATGTGTTCCTATTAATAATTTATGATTATATGCTGCTTTTTACAACTATTTTCTACTCAATTGATGTGTTGTAAACGCGGGTATTTTTACCCGCGGGTACCCATATACCCTATCGGGTGACGGGTATGGGAAAAAATTGTACCCTTGACGGGTATGGGTATGGGTGATGGGTAAACTCAGGGCGGACGGGTAAGGGTATGGGGTAGCTCTACCCGTACCCATACCCTGCGGGTGCCATCCCTATGAATAATAAACATTTATCATGATATAAGGAAATATAAATGACAACTTTATTATTGCCTCTAGGGCATATTTCCTTCAGTTCTTGGAGATCTATCCGATGTAATCTTATTTTGCGGTGTGTTTGTCTAGATTCGATGAATTGTGGATTTATGATCAGCTTATCTATGCATATTATTTGAATCTTCTCTGAACTCTTATATGCATGATTTGATATCTTTGTATTTCTCTACGAATTATCGGTTTGGTTTGGCCAACTAGATTGGTTTTTCTTGCAATGGGAGAGGTGCTTAGCTTTGGGTTCAATCTTGCGTGATTTCACCCAGTGACAAAGTAGGGGTATGCTACCTCTTGAGCTTGCGTTGGTTTTTTCCTTGAAGAGGAAAGGGTGATGCAGCAAAGTAGAGTAAGTATTTCCCTCAGCTTTGGAGCCAAATGGATTAAGTGGATTAAGATGATTTATGGTACTGGGTTTTCCTCTATTTTACTTAATGGGATCCCTAGAAAACAATTTCTCTGTACAAAAAGGTGTGAGGCAAGGAGATCCTCTCACTCCTTTTATATTTTTCATTTCTGCAGATGTTCTTCAGTCCATGATCAATGAAGCAATGCACAATTCTATTGTCAGCCCCCCATTGAGACACAACTCTAGCCCAGATTATCCTATTATCCAGTATGCAGATGATACCATTTTGTTGGTTCATGCAGACAGCAGGCAGGCTCAACAAATCAAAAATTTGCTTAATTACTATGCAGACTACACTAGGCTTAAGATCAACTACTCTAAATCCACTATGGTCTCTATCAACACTCCTCCTGAGAAGATGCAAGAGTTATCAAATCTGATGGGCTGTAAGATTGGTAATCTTCCCCACACTTACCTTGGTCTGCCTCTCTGCATTGTCAAACCAAAAATTGAAGATTTTGTGCCTATGTTAAAGAGGATTGAAAACAGGCTTCTGGGATGCTCCACTTTGCTCTCCACTGGGGATAAACTTACTCTCATCAAGTCAGTTTTTACCAGCATGCCAACCTTCTTCATGTGCACTCTGATGATTCCAAAGACTGTGATTAAGCAAATAAATTCCTACCTTATGAACTGTTTCTGGAGGAAATATGGTACACAGGACAGAGGTGCTGCACTTATCTCATGGGAACAAGTATGCAAACCAAAATCCCATGGAGGCCTTGGAGTTCTTAATTTGCACACCCATAATAAAACTCTGTTCATGAAATCTCTGCATAAATTCTTCAACAGAGCTGATATTCCATGGGTGAATATTATCTGGGAAACATACTACCAAAACTCATTACGTGGAGAAAGAATGATTGGATCCTTTTGGTGGAAAGCAATTCTCAAGCTTCTTCCAACTTTCAGGCAACTACATGTTTGTAAAGCTGGCACTAGAGACACTATAAGATTTTGGGCAGATAATTGGCAAGTCACCCCACTGCAAACTCAATATCCAGAGCTCTACTCATTTGCAATCAACAAAGAAATCACTCTGGGAAATGTGCAACATCTAGAAGACCTCAGTCAACTGTTCCACAGACCATTATCTCTACAAGCTTTTAACCAGTTCAATGACATTGAAGGGATCATCATGAGCAGAGCAATCACAACTGATAGAGATTACTGGTCTGCTAGTGGTAGTTCTATGAAATTTTCCTCCATGAAATTTACAAAGTACTCATGGGACCAAGCACAGCTCACATCATCTTTAAGATGCTTTGGAAAACGGCATGCAGACTCAGACATAAAATCTTCTTCTGGCTCCTTCATGACAAGATTAGTACTAGAAATATGCTACACCGCAGAAGTATGTATCTTGAGGATTACAGTTGCGCCTTATGTGGGGATGGCACTGAAGAGACTACTATCCAGCTATTTTGGGACTGTCAGTTTGCTTGGACATGTTGGAATTCAATCACTACCTTCAAAGACAGAGGCATCTCTACCTATGATGAAATACTCCTCACTCTGGGTCAACTACCTGCAGACATTGCAATGGAGATTGTTATTACGGGGTGCTGGAGCATCTGGCTGACAAGGAACGATAAGATTTTCAGAAGGGCACCAATACACCTAGATTCTTGAAAATTCTATCTGAGAGAAAGCCTACAGATTATCAGTATTATAGCTAAGCAAGAGAAGGCCACGTTGATCAGTAATTGGATAACACGGCACCTGTAATCGTTTCGATGTTTCATAGAAAGGGCATCGGTTGACCCACTAGTTTTGGGCATGATTTGTAATATGTGTACTATATTTAGTTAATTAATGAAAATTACTACGGTTTCGGCTCCAAAAAAAAATGGCAGGTTATCAGAATTTGAGTCCAACTATGTATATTTCTTTACTCATGTTAAGCGCATCGTTATATGTTTGGCGCATAAAGACTGAATTAATACTTGTGTGCATTTCATTTAAATTCATACATGTTGTTGTTTCAAAATACACATGTTTATTGAGACGTTCGTGCACGTGCATCCTTACTAGTTAGATAAAGTCTTCGTTCCGGTTAAACATTTCCAGTTTTTGTGTGAGCTCAAGTTTCTGTACATAAAGTGAGGACCAACATCTGCAGCCTGTAGGATATAGGGTGATCTATACATCTCTCCCTTCCTCGAGTTTCTGAGCAACACAGCCGGGCGTACGTAACACGGGATAAACCCCCCACCGACGCACCCAGCCGACGATGGTTTCCCATCACACACAAACAAGCATTGTCGACGGCCAATTATTTGACAGCATGCAAAAACTCCCATCCTCACGACTTGGTCTTGAACGGGACGTAGTTCTTGAGCGACTCCGTGACGCCCTCGATGGACGCGACCGCCGCGGCGAGCGACACCAGGAAGCAGAGGAAGCTGAGCGTCTGCAGCGCCACCCACCTCGTCGTGTACCTCGGTATCCCGCGCTGCCGGATGTACATCTCCACGGGGAAGTAGACGGTGAGCGGCCAGAAGCCGATGGCGCCCAGGAAGCCGAGGATGTCGTTGAAGAAGGGCATGAGGATGGCCAGCAGCGTGCTCACCATCACGAACGCCGTCCTCCACGTCAGCCTGAAGAGGTTGAGGTTGAAGCCGAGCCGCTTGCCGTTGCCGGCGGCGACGCGGTGCTCGCGGGTGATGAACCCGGCGTTGGGCCAGGTGGCCGCGGCGAAGGTCTCGACAGCGGCGAAGATGGGCTGGCAGAACACCTGGTAGGCGCCCACCAGGTGCACCACGATGCACACGTTGGCGAAGTCGATGAGCCAGTAGGGCTCGTAGAAGCCGAAGCCGGTGAGGATGTTCCCCTTGGCGCCGTTGCCGAACGCCGCGTAGCCCAGGCAGCCGCACAGCATGTAGAAGGCCGTCGTGGTGGACACCCCCACCAGGGTCGCCTTCTTCATCGTCTTGTTCTCCGCCGGCGGAGACCTCACCGTGTCCTACGTACAACAGGTTCATTCTTTCAGCCTTGTACCGAAGCAGCACATCGTCAACCTCGGGAGGACTTTCCCATGCAGCGGTTGCTCACCTGGATTTCTATGAGGATCATGGAATAGGAGTAGGCGAAGGCGATGTCGCCGAGCGCCTGGAACGCGAGCCAGATCTTCTGGGCCGAATCGACGTCCACGCCAACCTCGGTGCCGGTCAGGGTGGCCTTGCCGGTCGGGCCCGATATGGTCTGCGCCAGGGAGAGGCCGACGGCGATGGAGGCGTAGGTGAAAGACATGACGGCGGCGAGGATGGAGAGCCACCAAAGGTCGTGGAAGTTGGGCACCTGGGAGAAGAAGATCTGGACGACCCCGAACACCACCATGTACATGGAGTCGTACACGCCGCAGTCCGCCGCCCGGCCGTTCTTGTGGAAGCAGTTGGCCTTGTTTATAGCACTGTTCGTGGATGGATCATCCGGTCACTCAACACGCGAAAAATCTCGGACGAGACATTGAAACCTTTTCAGATGATGATGAATCGACTTACGCCGCGCTGATGGACGCTGTGATCGTGTACCCGATTGCAGTCCCGACCAAGTTGACGTACTGGAAAACGCCACAGGCCCACACTTGCCAGCGACCTGCACGCACAAAGCAGCACACACCAGCACAGTTAGTCCTGCCATGCGTCTTCAAATCTGGATTCAGGAAGAAGCTCCTCGGTGGTCAGTTGGGTTGCATTCCAGGAGAGGGACACGAGACTTACTCAAGTAGGATGCGACGGCGTCCATGTAGGTGTAGTTCCTCTTCCCGGTGAGCGGATCGCCGGTGCGGTAGCAGTCCGCGAGGAGGCCGGAGGTGTAGTAGGTGATCGCCGCGAAGAGCATCAGGGTGATCGGCCCGACGACCCAGCCCAGCTGCGCCGTTGCCCAGGCGAGGGAGAGCACGCCGGAGCCGATGACGGCGGTGATGATGTGCGCGCTCGCTGTCCATACCGTCCCTGCTCAACATATTGGCTGTCAGTCAGTTGCTGCAGGAAACCATCTTGGAAGTTCTAGTACTGTTCGGTCGTCGTAATTGCTGCTGAAACTTTACGGTTTCAGTTTAAACACTCTGCATTTTGATAACTTCTAGCACTAACAAAAATCAACCAAAGTTCGCAAGGAAAAATATAACGATGATTTGCACTACAGACTACAGAGTAACGTATTCTAGCAGTGTGGAAATGTCAGTTAGAAGTCATGAAAAAATCATAATAATGTATACATTGTTGCAAGATGTATGAACCTAACAATTTTGACCCAACTTGTGCCATTTTTGTGTGCTTTATGAAGGAAATAGTATGATAGTCTCAAACATATTGCAACCGTATGTAACTTGTTTCCTAGAACAGCGCACAAACGGACATGATTTTAGCTGAAATTTGCATGTTTATGCTTCATCTAGTAATTTGCGTGCTCAACATTTTCTGGCAATTTCACTACCAAAACATTATCTTGGGATGAGTAATTCTCAAGACATAGAGGTGGACAAACTCTTGCAGGATATCACGAACACACCAACATTTTCCATGAACCTATTGTGATCGGGGCACAAGAGAGGCATGGGGATACTATGGTTGTAACCCCAGGCCTAGGATCAAATTTATGCACAGATCTCTTAGGAATATCACAAAACTATTAGTAAATGCTACTGAAATTGTGCAGCCCTTGGCGTAGCCTGGCCATGGGCCATGGCTCCGCCTCGACAGAAAAACCATTCACTTGTGTGTGGATCAAACAGAGAACATAAATAAAGGGTCCAATCAGTAACATAATGTGATACTCCTATATATAAAAAAGCGTCAAATATTGCTAATACTTGCATATTAGCGACTGGCCTTTTGGATGAATATATATCCATCCAAACCACTAGTAAACAAAATTACAAAAAAGTAATATTTTGCGCATGGTAAGTATGAATACTATTTTTGTATATTGGTGTATTAATTTTAGAAAAAATAATTCAACCAGGATCCTTGATTTAATTTCGAGTAATAAACAAATAAACCTTAATTAAAACTAAAACTAGTCTAAAAATAAAAACAACCCTTCAACGGAAGAGTACAAAAAAAAATTCTTGCCAAAAAATTTGCAAGTTCAAAGTTGAACTTAATTGAACAAGTCAAACAATTCTATTTTCTCACAATCACAAGATCTTAAAAGAACAAATGAGGTGACATGTGTATATCTTCAACCCATGTGTGCCTACATTTTCAAAAGGTCTAACTTTCCAATGTTATCTTCGTAAATGTCAAAAGGAAATCCTGACCTTGAGAAGAATAAAAAATACTTAGGGCTCCTTTCGTTCACAAGGTTGTGTAACCCAAGCAATAGATATGTAGAATTGCAGTTTCGTGTCATCTTGTATCATACATGGTTGAAAGGATGTTTGATTGATCAATGCAAAAACAGGATAACCTTTCTAAGTTGTTGGAGTCAATAAAGTGATTTTAAAATACTATGGAATGACACGCAAAAAAAAGTGATTTTAAAATATGAGTTTCAATGGTATAAATAAAACAACCCAAGGATTACACTTCGAAATCCCTTTGAATCAAAGATGCATGTAGGTGAGGCCTCACATTATACTACTACCTGAGTAAAATTGTGTGTAACTTTGCGCTATAATGTTACGCTTTCCTATTTCTATTTGTATATGATCAAAAGATGATAGCAGCCTACTACCTCCGTCTTGATTTATTAGTCTCCTTTGTAGTTTGTGCAAATTTTTAACTAAAGACTTAACTGACAAAATTTTAATGCATGTCAACAAAAATAATATCGTTAGATTCGTCTTTAAACATAGTTTTCAATGACATAATTTTTTATAACAAACATGAATATTTTGTTAGTTAAATTTATGATTAAAATTTGACACAGATTATAATGAGGACCAATAAATCAGGATGGAGGCAGTACTACATAGAACCTACTCATAGAGACAAGAAAATGTCAAGACAAGGCCTCATGAATGTCCCTTGATGATCTGCGTTTGCTTTTGGCCGGTCAACTCCAGGATACGATATTGACTCCTTTTTTCTCTCATGGTAGCTAGGAGGAGAGGATATTAAAGGCCTCTTTTGGTTCATAGGATAGGGTTATCATAGGAATAGGAATCTTGTAGAAAATGAGATGGCATGTATCTCAAATCGTATGAGTGGGAATAGGAAACAAGATGTCATTTGGTTGACACCAAAGGAATTTTTCCATTGAGTCTAGGCTTTTTTTTATTTTCGTATGAAATGTGGAGGATAGGAACTAATCCTATGTAAGAATAAGAATCCATTCCTATGAACCAAAGGGCTCTAAAGAAAAAAAATCCTATAAGAATCCTATCTTCTAGAGTTCCTATGAAATTCCTCTAAACCAAAATTAAAGGAGGCCATAAAAAGCCTAGCTACTACGTAGAAACTAGGAAGAGGCCATACATATAGTCATGGTTTGGTAGCGGGGCCGCGTAGAGGCGAGCGCCCGCCCGAAGGTCAGAGACGGCTGCCCTACGGCGCATCGATCGGATCGCATCGGTGAGCTCATCCGCGCAGACTCCGCGTCCCTCTCGGGCGGCCATGCCGTGTCTCTGACGAGCTTCTCGAGTCAAACGACAAAAGCAAGCCCGTCTTTTTCCCGCTCCTAGTCCTAGTCCTAGTCCTAGTCCTACTACTCCATACTTACCCATAGGCCATAGTACAATCTGCTGCGTTGAAGGGATCGAAAGGATATGATCCGTGGCTCCACGCCCAAGCCGTACGACGTGCTTCCAAACGCCATGGGTCAGATTTTGCGTCAAAGCTCATATCGCCTCCGTGTGTTGCTCGCATGGGATGCGTGCAAGTAATATTACTTCCATTCCCACATAGAACTGTCCAAGGGAATCGACTGAAAGGGAAACTTGACCCGTGCGACACTGATACGGCCTGGCTCAGTTTAAGCAGCAGTACATCGCGTGAGGGAAACAGATTCCGCCGGGCAAGAAACCACCACCGGGAAGAGTGCCGGCCCCGAACGGGGGCTTTCGCCGAGTTGGTGAGATTGACAGGTTAGCACGCAGAATGAGCAATCAGGGGTCAGTCGTTCGGTCTGACCGTCGACGTACGCCGGTGGCTTCAGCGTTCAGGGGCGGCGCTGTCCTGGCCTACTACCAGCGCCTCTCCTCTCGTCAAAAAGGGTAGCTAGCTGAGGGGGGATACTAATTTTCCTCCAACACGTGCTGGTCAAGGAATCTGTAAAGTGGCGGTAGGGCAATCGCAGGTCAGTCAGAGATGCGCGCCTGTAAATTCCATATGGAGCATCCACGCTACCCTCCCCGCGCGCCCGGATGCTGACAACGGCAAAGAGTTCACGTTTCTCCCCAGTAAATTGATTGATTAGCTAGCGCTATTACGGTGAGACACGCTGCTGTTACGGGAACGGAGTAGAGGCACAGCTGTTCACCGTGCATAGGGGTAGGGGTAGGGGCAGCAGCAGTAGGATAGCCATGCACAGTGAACAGGTGCGCCGTTTCTCTCCGGCCGAGTTTGACCGTGCGACCCACATGCGACCCATGCGTGCGACCATGTGGACTCGTCTCTGCTTGATTTGAGCTAATAATTGGTAGAAAAATATTGGTGCCGGGACAAATCTAGCTGGGACGTGCACGTCAGACGATATGCTTGTTCTTTTTTTCTTTTCTTTTTTGCATTCTTCTTCCTCTCTATCTGATCTGGTGTAGGTCACAAGCCTCCGATTTGGAATGGAACGAGACCAAAGAGACCGACGTGAGGCGACAGCCGTCCAACCCTTGCGAGCAGTAGGGCACATGGTGACCGTGCGTAAACACGTTTGACCGATCAGGCCCAGGGCCCAATGGCAGTGGCATGCGAGCATGATCCGCCCACCGCGAAAACAAACAAGAAAACAGCTACTGTAGTACCTAAACTTCCCGGTGGTTTCTCTCCGCCTTCCGCCTTCGCTGAACACGAGCGGAGAGTAGCCTCGCGTGCGGTCCCCCACGGCGGGAGGCAAATCCGCACCCGAACTCCATAGTGCCAACAAAGACAGCGCAGCACATGCTTCCCAGCTCGGCAGCGGCGACTGACGGCGGCGACCGCCGCACAGCACGACCGTGTCGTGGCGATAGCACAAGAACAGAAAATCAACCGCGCCGGCCGGCGGTAGGGTTTTGGCGCCATGAAAAGCTAGCTGAAGCTGAACTGGGCACATGATAGGCGTGCAATTTTGCAGCGACGCGAGTTGAAGGAGGTGAGTAGCTGAGCTGAGCATGATGCTGCTTACCTGTGCGCCGCTGCTTGCCGTCGTCGTCCACGTCGGCGTCGCCGCCCTGCGCCGGGGGAGAGGGGTAGTAGGCCTCGCCGGCGACGGCGCCGTTGCCGCCGTTCCGCGCCGCCATCTCCACGTCCTTGGTCATCCCTCCGTCAGTGCAGTGCTGCGATCGTCCCTCTCCCCCTTCCTCCCTCACCTCCCTCTAGCTGTGCCGTGCCTCTGGCTGGGAGGATGGGTAGGTGGTGTGGCTGTCCAGAACCAGAACGAGTGAATGACAATCAGAGAGAAGAGCCTGCCCTACTATATATACAGGGGGTGAGCCGTACACGCGCGTATGCTATCCTAACATTTACTCCCCTTTTTGTTTATTTGTTCACATCGTAGGACGCTGGAAATGCACGGACTAGGCCTTTCCACGGTCGTTTTTGGTTCCAACAAAGCTGCCAACTTTAACACGGAGAGGTCAAACATTGTGTTTTAGATAGCAGTAGTATGCTTCAACCAACCAATAAAGCAGATCCCCTTAATCAAGTTATTCAATCCTAATAAATGTAACACTTGCTTAGTTAATCAATTTTCTTGCGGGTAAATTAAAATTTGAGGTTGTAAGAGCATCTACAACCTAATCTGCCCCCCTAAACATCTATGGACGCGTCCGGGGGAATGCCCGGACAGCGTTGGATGGCTCCTCATTTATTCTCTGGGACAACCACATCCAAATGCAAATACATGTGCGTCCATCATATAGCACAAATTCATCGTCAATTCAATCATGCAACAAAGCAAACTCAAGCGCAATTCAACAATTCCACATATGCCGAAAAAAAGTATGACAATTCATAAATAGGTGATACAATAATGACTCATTCACATTCGTGTGTTGATCTACTTCTTCACCTCAAGCCACTTTTTGCCTTCTAGATCAAACAGGGAAGCGTCGGCCAACACGATCCTCGCCTCCGTGTCCCGGGCTGGCTGCGGACTCTCTTTCTCGAGCTCAATTAACGCAAAAGTCTTTGCCTTCTCGAGCTCCTATTTGACATATGGCTCATACATCTCCAAGTCAATCATCTCCTTCCAAAGCAGCAATTTTTTGTTCACCCTTTCCCCTCCTAATCCATCCTCTCCTTTTGCGCATATAGAGTCAATGCTTGTGGTCAAAAAGCTTCACACAACAAAACATCCTCCTTGGATGAGAATTCTAGACCTCTTACATGGGTGTCTTCTTTTTCTGGTTGCGACTGGCCGATATTTGCTTAATATCATACATAGTTGATATCCCCAAAGTCGTAATGCATAGACTCTTGATTGTCATTGATCATGCCCGTCGTGATAGCCTCCTAAAATGGTCATGATCACTAATTAATGATGTATGCAACAAAAACATTCTATGCATCGGTAAATTAATTCAATGACATATGTATCCCTAAGTTGGTTCGATGGCATACGGAAAAAGGGGGGCGGATCAATGCAAAGAGGGGCAAAAACTGTATTGTGTCCTACTCCGCTATTTCACCAAATATGACTTGGGCAGGCTCAGAGTTAGCGGTTCCTAGAGTTGTCCCCGCTCATTACAGTTGCGATGAGTCGTACACCATCTTGAACGCCTCTAATTGCGCCCAGCCATCCAGAAACCCCGAAAAATCGTTCGGCCGAGCAGAGTCAGTCACGACCGGGGCGGATGGCACCTTCCTTCTCAGCGGCAGAAAGGACGCGAACTCGGTCGCATCTGGAGCAGACACGTCCATGTCGGCGATGATCACTGCTTGCTCTCTCGTAAGAGTGGTTGGGTAACCCCCAAGTGCAAGTGTGAAGTAACCTAGCAATAAGTATTTCCTTCAGTAGCGAACTAAGATTTATCGAATCAGAAGGAGTTCTTCCAGCAAACAAAGCCATCGGTACATGCACACGAAACACAAGACAAACTTGTCCCCAACACATCAAGAAGGTTGCCAAGCTTCTTGTCTGGTTAACTACAAGATTAAATTGCACCTTATGGTAGGGACTAATATATAGATAAAAATATAAATAAAAGAAACAGTACAACAGGGAAACAATATTTTTGGTAAAGTGTTCAGTATAAGAAGATAGACCCCCGGGCCATAGGTTCACTAGTGGCATCTCTGGATCATTACAGTTGGTTAGTGATCAAATTGCAACATTATATTTCTGACTATGATCATTCTTCATGGAATAATCTCATATCGGCATTACGTCTGTATAGATCATTATCCAACTGGATCTACAACTAATACTCCACTCCAAGACTGCTATCCAACATGCATCTTGAAGTATTAAGTTCATAGCAAATAGAGCATTGTAATAAGCATGATGATATAATAGACAATAAAACTATCATCCAAGTATGATAAAGAAACAACTATTTTATCCTTAGTGGCAATAATACATTGGCCAAAAAAGAAAAATAGATTGGAGAGCATACAAAACTATTCAAATATATGCCAAAGAAACCTCAAAAGATTCAATTGATAGATGGAGAGGCAACAACTTTGATAGAGAGGATTGATGACTTCATCGGGACTAAGAAGGATTTTGCATCTGAAGTTATGCAACCAAAGCTAGACTACGCGGAGAAGAATCAAAAAGAGAAGTTGGGGAGATGGTGAGAGATGAACGAGAACACGAAGAGCAAGCTTGACATGGAGGAGTGCAGGTTCCAACTCAAGGAGAGTCGGTTGAGCGAGAGAGGACGGCTAAGGAAATGTTGTTAAAGTGTGTGATGCTTAACGGTGAGAATGTGATTTATATCTATTCGGAACTGAAGATCAATTAGTTGCGTGCACACACCTAGGAAATAGGAGAAGAAAACTGATAAAGGATACCATTTTTGGGAAATCCAATTTTGCACGCTAGTTCTAAAGCCTTTAAAAATGTTACTAAAGTTGTTTTAAATATTGACTTTTTAGAGAATCTGCAAAGGTTGCTCTTAAGAAGTTACGGCAAATTGATAGATTTTACCCTCATAGGGCTACAATTGAGGGCATAGGCTTTATACATAGTGATGGCATGTTGTCTTAAAAACCATCACAAACAATTTTCTACAAAAGTAACTGGTGATGAGAAAATGTATGATGGTCTCTAAAAACAATCTGCTATGTTACATTAAAAAGTTCATTGTGATTAGCTTTAGTGGACCCGAAGTTTTGGTTACGGTTGTTAGATTAAAAAGAGCCCAAAAATATTGGTGACCTTTGTACTTGTAGAAATTCATATGGTAATTGATTAAGCCTGTCAAATTAGAATTGGCTTTTATTGTGGTGGTGACTTCTTTTTTCGTGTGCCACTATTTACTATGTGTGGTCATTTTTCTAGTGTCTTCCTCCTCCTCCAAGTCAATCCTTTTGTTTTTGTTTTCATCATCTCTTTCTGCATAAATTAGATGATACTCCATTCATTTCTACGGAAATTGATTTTAATATATTTCAACAAAATTTGCTTGTATGAAATATAAATATTTGGACTAATAATATAAGAACTAGAACTATACATACAAATAGTTTAGTTGTAAATATTATTTTATTACATGGATATATTTCTCTGCATGATCACATGTTGAAATGACATACTTATGTGTTAATAGAGAAATAGTATTTATTTTAGGAAAAACCATCATAGCTAGCTATATTAAAATCAAAATAAGGTTACATCATTTGTGAGCTTACAAACAACAAATTCAGGTGGCTCATCCAACCAACTATAAGAAGACTTATTACAATAACTATAGTTTGCTAGCACATGAATCGCTTGATTAGCCGAACAAAAACATTGGTTAAATATGATCTTTTGGATCATTGTAGTTGTATCCACGCACTCCATAAAAATAGCCGATGTTGCGTCTCACCATCTTGTTTGTCCAGTGCAAAAATTAATCACTTGAAAATAGTCCGATTCCGCCTCAAATCTGGATCGTAGCAGCTGGCCAAACGCACACGGCGGCATCGATCGAGGAGGGACCAGCCTGAAAGCAAGTTTGGCCCTAAAATAAGTATTTCCTCCGTCCGAAAAAGCTTATTCCAATCTTGTCTCTCAAATGGATGTATCTAGCACTAATTTGATGCTAAATACACTCATTTGAGAGACAAGCTTTTTCGGACGGAGGGAGTAGCTCTCTACCATCGGTCACCAAACACCGATTCGGAATGACGTGCCGCCCCGTCGCCGCATCTCGCCGTCGCCACGCACGCCGAACACTCCCCGACCGTACGGCACTTACTTCATTTCTTGATTGATGATCCGGTCTCGATGGCCGTACGCGCCATGCATGGCCGCTCCGGTGCAAGAAACCACACGAATACGGTGGGCGGATTGGGCGGACGAACGTGCGAGTGTAGAGCAACGCGCCCAACGGATTCGGGAGCGATCGTACGTACGTGCACCGGGACTGGTCCCGTCGGTCCGTGGGAACCTCCCGCTGGTTTCCCATTTTCTCCGTGGAGAAACCCGTACGCTTGTGACACTTCAGCCAAAGTGTATAAACAACCAGAATGCGTGCGTGAGCCTGGGTCCCTGCACACAAAATTAGGGTTCAGGATAGTGATCCGTCTCAGCATCATCGCCGATGAGCCCCGGGCGTTTGACTATTCAAGTTCTTCCAGCATGCCACGCAAATAATTGAAGTAGGAGCAGCTGTGCAACGTGAAGCATCGGCTCGGGGGCAACTGATTGATCGCCGGCCACGAGGGAATCCGCGGTACGGGACGCCGGGCGCAACAAGACACGAGTCATCATCGCCCATGTTGCGTGGTCAAATTCACACTGCCGCGGGCGCGACCGGTTGATCCGGGCCTTGTGGCGCCGTGATGTCACTGATGCTGTGTCGCCTCCCTCCGTATCACAAGACGAGGTGTGTGTTTTCTCAAAAAAGAAAAAAAAAGACGAAGTGTGTTTTTGTTTTGCTAGAAGATTGATCCCGACTCATACAGTATGGTTTACAGACCATGAAATTGACACCCCTAGCCTCATTTTCACAAGTATCTAATACTCTTTCCGTCTCATAATATAATAGCATTTTTGATACTAGTGTAGTATCAAGAAAAATTATCTTCGAATGTTATTTGGTATCTCCTAAACCTGAGCAACTATTGGTCAAACTTTTATCTCCGAATGCACCCAATGTTTTGAAAG